AAGAGGAACAAATGTAATCTGAACAATAAAGATTTAATAAAAAAAATATTTAAAAAAAAAGAAGTAAGATTAGAGAGGGAGGTAAACAGGAAAAAAAAAACCATTTCATTTTGAGTGGTTTGACATTAAGAATTATGAAATACACTTACTATATTATTTTCATCTTCATTTTGTTTATAGCCCAGCTAGTGATGGTTGCTACTACAACCATTGTTAATCAGAAGATGAATACTATCAATGACTTGCCCTAACCTGTTTGGCTCAGTGGATAGAGCGTCGGCCTGCGGACTGAAGTGTCCCAGGTTCGATTCCGGTCAAGGGCATGTACCTTGGTTGCAGGCACATCCCCAGTAGGGAGTGCGCAGGAGGCAGCTGATCGATGCTTCTCTCTCATCGATGTTTCTAACTCTCTATCCCTCTCCCTTCCTCTCTGTAAAAAAATCAATAAAATATATTTTTTTAAAAAACACAAAAAACTAGAGGCCTGGTGGGTTGGGGGAGGGGTTGAGGGAGGAGGGTTCCCCTTCAGCCCGTCCTGCACCCTCTCCAATCCAGGACCCCTCAGGGGATGTCCAACTGCCCCTGTGGGATCGGGCCTAAACCAGCAGTTGGACCGCTCACCTGCCTGTCGGCCTGATCACCTCTAACCGCCTCTGCTTGCCAGCCTGATGCCCCTAACTGCTCCCCTGCCTGCCTGATCATCCCTAACTGCCTCTGCCTGCCGGCCTGATCACCCCTAACTGCTCTCCCCTGCTGACCTGATCTGCTTAACTGCCTCTGCTTCAGCTCCTGCCACCATGGCTTTATCCAGAAGGACGTCTGGAAGATGTCTGGTCTAATTAGCATATTATCCTTCTATTAGTATACATTTTATTATTAAAAACAGCCAAATTAACAAGTTTCAGCTAGCTATTACTATCTGTTATTTTCAGTTTCAGATATCTGCATATGTTGTCAGAACTACATTGGTTTTACAGTAGGAGGCCTTTTAGATGTATTGGTTTTTCATTCAATGTCAATTATTCAACCAGTATTTAAGAAGTGCTCCTTTATATTGGATATCTGACATTATGACTTTGACCTGTTTTACTTTGAGTTGTTTACTCATCTGTTTTGCTGCCAGTAACATTACAGTCTGCATTTTAGCCATTTTAACACAATCATCTGGACATCTACGTTTTATAGAAGACTGATTTGTCATGCTTATTTGATGTTTTAGACCCTTGAGGAGGCTGGGGGAAGGTGTTTGAGCTCAGTATTATCCTATATTTTCAACTTTAAGACCACACAGAAAATTCCAATTAAATTTCTAATGTTTTATTAGAATTACAATATATGCATACTTGCCCTGGCCAGGTGGCTCAGTTGGTTGCAGTGTTGTCCCATACACCAAAAGTTTGGGAGGCAACCGATCCCAGTCAGGGCAAGTTTGGGAGGCAACCAATCAATGTTTTTCTCTCACATTGATGTTTCTCTCTCTGTGTCTGTCTCTCTCCCTCCTTCTCTCTCTAAAATCAATAAACATACCCTGGGGTGAGGATTTTTTTAAAAAACACATGAAAATATATGCATACTTTATATAATGTGATTTTTTAAAAATATAATGATGGAAGGGTAAAATATTACACAACCTTGCAAAGTAACCAGGTAATCTACTAGAAGAAAAATTTAGCTGTCTTTGTTTTTCCTGACTATAAAATTATAATGATAGTCCTGGCCTGTGTGGCTCAGTTGATTGAAGCATCATCCATACACCAGAAGGTGGCTGGTTCAATTCCTGGTCAGGGCACATACCCAGGTTTTGGGTTGGATCCCCAGTTGGGGCTTGAATGGAAGAAGGCAACTGATCAATGTTTTTCTCACACCGATGTTTCTGTCTCCTCTCTCCCCTCCTTCCTCTCTGTAAAATCAATTTTAAAAATAAAATCATAATGATAACTTAAATAGAACTTACTATGTACCAACACTGTTCTGCATGTAATATATGCATTAGTACTTAGCCCTTGCAAATGCGTTATGAGTTAAATACTATAGATCCACATTTTTTGAGGCACAGAGAGTGTAGGTTACTTGCACCAGGTCACATAACTGGTAAATGACAGAGCTAAGATTTAAACTTAGGTTCCACTCAACAGTAAGCCCTGGCTTAAAAATAATACCAGATAGAAATTTAAGCAACACAGAAATTAATAAAATAGAAATTATAAATCCCCCATAACAGTGATAGAGAAATGAGTAGAGATATCTGTTAATTACATTAACAAATGTAGACAAATTAATAAAAATAGGTAAGTGTACATGTTTTTTTGTATTTTGACAATATGGAGTCAATGGTGGCATCACAATCCACTCCATCTGTATTCCATCATTGTATAAAGAATGCCTGGTACTTAGGCATAATACTTCTGTAGTATAAAAAATACTGCAGAGCTAATTCTGTTATAATTTGAACTCTGATTAACAAGATAGTCAAACCTCACCTTTTAAGTTACAGTTAAACCTCGGTTCTCAAATATCTCCCATCTCAAACAATCCCATTCTCCTTTTTTTTTTTTTTAAATCCTCACCGGAGGATATTTTTCCATTGATTTTTTTTTTTTTTTTTTTTTTAGAGAGAGTGGAAGAGAGAGGGAAAGACAGAAACATGAATGTGAAAGAAACACATCATTGGTTGCCTTCTACATGAGCCAGACCAGGGCCAGGGCTGGGGAGGAGCCTGCAACCGAGGTACGTGCCCTTGACCGGAATGGAACCTGGGACCCTTCAGTCCACAGGCCGACTGCTCTATCCACTGAGCGAAACCGGCTAGGGCCAGTTCCATTCTTGACCAAGTTGTTCATGGAAAAAAAATGTCTGGGTTGTTGAACAAGCTTCAGTTCTCGACCAGATAACCTTTCCATGCTGGTACATTAGTGTGACAAAAAGCATTTCTTAGGCCGAAAAGGAGAAAATTCGAGTCCATTTACATCTTTTTGCTTTTGTTGCTGGTGAAATTTGAAAACAAAGAGACCACTAAGTGCTTATGTTGCTCAGGGTGTGAAAGAAACAATGATCACAGGTAAATGAAGTAGAAAAACTGTTGTTAATTTGGATAAAAGCAAAGCGATTAGCCCGCGATAGCATTTCCAAGGCAGTGATGTGTGGAAAAGTGAAGATGTCTAAGATATCGCATACTGATTTCCTGAGACTCCCCTGGAAGGGGTGCTGAAAGTGATTCCTTTAAGTTTAGTAGGGAGTGGTTTGATAAAATTAAGAAAAAGTATTTGTTTATAGGTTAAACAGAACTTTAGACATGTACTGTATATAAGAAAAGTTAAAACGGAATCATTTGGGGGTCTGGAACGAATTCAATTTACGTCATTTCTAATGGAAAAAATGATTCGGTTTTCGAACAAATCGCTTTTCCAACAGCCTTCTGGAATAAATTAAGTTTGAGAACCGAGGTTCCACTGTATTTGTTTCGGTACAGCAAATTCATGATATATGTAAGTGGTGAGATCATACTTTGGAGTTCTTATGACAGAATAATCCTGTTAGGATATTTTTCCTTAAAAACAACAACTTATTTCTTAACTTTTAGAGATGCACAAAGACTTGAAGAATTCTTCACCAAAAATCAGCAGCTGAGAGAGCAACAGAAAGTTCTTCATGAAACCATTAAAGTTTTAGAAGATCGGTGAGTCTTGGGTGAAATTTGAAAACATAAAGAGACCGCTAAGCGCTAATGTTGCTCAGGGTGTGAAAGAAACAATGATCACAGGTAAATGACGAAGTAGAAAAGTTCTTGGGTCTTCTTAAGAGGTGATTTTTCCCCCTTAATAGAAAGTACATTGTATTCAGCTCTAGGACCAAAAGTGATTTTTTTTTTCCAACCTTATGTCAACTTTGAATGAATACTTTGAAATTAAGGATATACTCTTGCAATGCTTGTTGTTTTTACTAATTACAGCAATTCTTTTTAGTATCTTCTGATCTTTTCTTCACTTTATGATTTCGAGTTTGGGCTTCCAGTTCTGTTATTCTTTGAATTTTGTGTTTCTCTTCTTAACTGAATTTTTCTTTTCCAGGCCCATTCGGAGAAAAAAATGTCAGTGGATGAATGCCCCTACCCTTCCCACTGAAGTATTTTATAAATTACTCTCTTATTCAATTAATATATTTAATTGTGAACATTATCTTTTTTGTGGAGTTTCTGGATTGGTAAACATGTGGAGATGTGGGGAGAGTAGTGTACCCAGGGAGGGGGGGAAAAAAATATATATATATATCTTTTATTCTGCAATTTTTAAAAAATTTTATTTAGTGATTTGGGAAAGAGAGAGAGAGAAACATCGATTTGTTGTCCCACTTATTTATGCATTCATTGGTTGATCTTGTATGCACCCTGACTGGGGATTGAACACGCAACCTTGACTTATCCGGATGATGCTCTAACCAACTTAGCTACCTGGTCAGGGCTATTCTGCAGTTTTTTAAAACTAGATTCTTTTCTATTTTTGATCTATGGTCACTAATTTCCTGTGGATATCCTGCTTCTCTACTGTTTCTTATCCTTAATGTTCTCTTGCCTTTCATTCCCTTCATCTTTAGGTCCTTAAAGTTAGGTGGGCCTATAATTCATTATGTGGTATTAATTTGGTGGTGGGAGTGGGGGTGGGACAAAAAGCGTAGTTCATTTGTTTATATATATGCTTTTCTCTCCTTCAAATACAAATCTGAAATTTTCTTTTGGGCTTTCTTTAAGGTTTATTCCTTGTTTCATGAAACCTCATATAATTAAAACAAGAATGTCCTAGATCTGACCATTATTGTTTTATGGAGGAATTGATATGTATTGAGGGCCTAGGCATCCAGCACTTAACCTTCACATTAACGCTATAAGATGGATGGTAGATCCATTTTACATGTGAGGAAACTGAGCTGGGAAAGTGTTCCTACGGTTTCATGATGCCTTGTCGGTATGCTGTCTTAATTTTATAAATGTGTAAATGAATTACACTTTAACTGATTATCTCAAAGTATTTGTGCTTGACCTAAAGTTACCAAGACACATACTCTGAAATAGTTTTCACCATTGCCTATTATCGAGTCTGTTTTCTAGAAGTTTTTATTTTTATTTTTTTTTATATTGCTACTAATTGAATACTACCTTTAAATGTCTATGTAGGTAACATTTGATAAAATTCTGCCTTATAAAATTTCATTTTAGTTTTATATCATATGTAAGAATGGTATCTAGAGCAAGCTTTATAAATCTATAAAAATTAATGTTTTTCTGAGACCTTAAAAAAGCAACACGTATTTTGTTAAAATTTCTAAATAATTCTGAAACTTGCCATCTACTCTTCATAAGATGAAGTGATTCTTACACTAATGTTGTAAAAACATTGTGAGATGTTTAGATGAAAGGAGATTACCCAATAAAGGTAAATTGGATAATAAAAAGGTCTAATTTTATGTGACTCGTTTATGTTTTGCCACTACTATTATTACATTTACAAACTTTCCTTTAAGGAACCAAAGTATTTCACTAAATCTAAGAAACAGTCACTATGCTAGAAAAGTAGAGAGAATGCATTTTCTTAAATAAAATTTAAAAAAATCTGAACAAAGCAGTTAAACCATAGTTGTTCAGTAGATTTTAATGTTTTTAAAAGCATTTTTGGTAGTCATGAGAAACTCATATTTCAACTGTCATTAAAAGGGAAAATTGGTACTCATAATCAGAGGATTTGTGTTTCTGCAACTATTTTTCAAATACTGGACCAAATATTCTCTTTTGTCTTGCTAACTGTCTTTCTCATAGATTTGAATTTAAACATCATATTCTTCAGGGGAACTCTGACTTCCTAGACTAGGTTAAGTTCTGCTATGTGCTTTATACTTCACTAGAAGCCCAGTGCTCGAATTCGTGCACCAGTGGGGTCCCTTGGCCTGGCCTGTGGGATTGGGCCGAAACCGGCTCTCTGACATCCTCCGAGGGGTCCCGGATTGTGAGAGGGCACAGGCCAGGCTGAGGGACCCCACCAGTGCATGATCGGGGCTGGAGAGGGAAGTGGGAGGTTGGCCAGCTGGGGAGGGACCACGGGAGGGCTCCAGGGTGTGTCTGGCCTTTCTCACTCAGTCCTGATCGGCCAGATCCCAGCAGCAAGCTGTCCTACCAGTCGGAGCGTCTGCGCCCTGGTGGTCAGTGCACATCATAGCAAGCAGTTGGGCAGCCTTAGCATATCATTAGCATATCATGCTTTGATTGGTTGATTGGACAACCGGCCACTTAGCATATTAAGCTTTTATTATATAGGACTAGAGGCCCGGTGCACAAAAATTTGTGCACTCAGGGGTAGGGGGTACCTCAGCCCGGCCTGTGCCCTTTCGCAGTTTGGGACCCCTCGGGGGTGACCACTTGCTGGCTTAGGCCCACTCCTCAGGGGATCAGGCCTAAGCTGGCAGTCAGACATCCCTCTGGCAGCCCGGCAGCCCTTGGGGGATGTCCACTTGCCAGCGGGAAGCAGACCTAAGCTGCAGTCAGACATCCTTAGCGCTGCTGAGGAGTGGGGAGAGGCTCCCTCCACCACTGCTGTACTGGCAGCCGTCAGCCTGGCTTGTGGCTGAGCAGAGCTCCCCCCTGTGAGAGCACACTGACCACCAGAGGGCAGCTCCTGCATTGAGCGTCTGCCCCCTGGTGGTCAGTGTGTGTCATAGTGACCAGTCATTCCCAGTCTTTCTGCTGTTAGGGTCAGTTTGCATATTACCCTTTTACTATATAGGATAGAGGCCTGGTACACGGGTGGGGGCTGGCTGGTTTGCCCTGAAGGGTGTCCCGGATCAGGATGGGGGTCCTGCTTGGGTACCTAGTCAGCCTGGGTGAGAGGCTGATGGCTGTTTGCAGCTGGTCACACCCCCTTCAGGGTGGGGGTCCCCACTGGGGTGCCTGGCCAGTCTGGGTGAGGGGCTGAGGGCC